CTCTCCTCTCTCTCTCTCCTCTCTCTCCTCTCTCTCTCTCCTCTCTCTCTCTCTCTCTCTCTCTCTCTCTCTGTTTTCTTCTGACCGCTTTTTCACTGACTGTCTCGTTTGTGCTACAAAAGCCTACCACAGCTACTATAGTCTCTCTCTCTCTCTCTCTCTCTCTCTCTCTCTCTCTCTCCTCTCTCTCTCTCTCTCTCTCTCTCTCTCTCTCTCTCTCTCTTTCTTTCCGTTTTCTTCTGACCGCTTCCGACTCTTTTAAGGAGAAAATCAACATTGATTCTATCTCTTAAAATCTTAAGCCCGTGGGCTCAGTTTCCATCTTGAAGAATAATTGTGAACTGAGAGAGAGAAATAGAGATAGAGGAGAGTGAGACAGATAGATAAATAGATAGATAGATAGACAGACAGATAGATAGATAGATAGATAGATAGATAGATAGATAGATTGATAGATAGATAGATAGATAGATAGATAGATAGATAGATAAATAGATATATAGGTAGATTAGATAAATACATAGATAGATAGAGAGAGTGGGACATTTAGATAGATAGTTAGATAGAGGAGACTGAGAAAGTTAGGTAGATAGATTGAAAGAGAGGAAATAGAGATATATAGATAAATAGAGATAGAGAGAGATAGGACATTGAGATAGATAGATAGATAGGTAGCTAGCTAGCTAGATAGAGAGATGGATAGATAGAGAGATAGATAGAAAGAGAGAGCAGAGATTGAGATAAATAGTAGATAGATAAATAGATGGATAGATAGATAGATAATAGATAGAAAGAGAGAGCAGAGATTGAGATAAATAGGTAGATAGATAAATAGATAAGTAGATATATATATATATATATATATATATATATATATATATATATATATATATATATATATATATATATATATATATATATATATATATATATATATATATAGAGAGAGAGAGAGAGAGAGAGAGAGAGAGAGAGAGAGACTGCGTGTGGAAAAAGTGTAGAACATGGGTTAATTAGTTCTGAAGCCAACGCCAGGTCCCACATTAATATGAAATTATCACTTGAGTGAGGACAGGCAGTTCTGTTTTGTTTTCCCATATGTTATTTCCCAAGTTAATTATCATTTTTAATGTTTTGAAAATTCTTCAACATGTCTTAGAAACTCTAGAATTATTTTTCCCTTTGTTATATACGTGTGTTCATATATGGAACGTTCCAGGTATGCGCTGAAGTGGATACTAGAAATAGATTCTCCAGCAATAGTTAAGACTAATGAGGATTATGAATCATAGAAACGTTTCGGCAATCAATTACGTTTTTTCTTTAACGTTTGTCTGCGTTGCATAAGAAGACTTTGCATCCTCGTGATGTCCGCAAAGGGATGGTGATTTTCCATCAAAAACAAGTGAACTAATTTCTTTCACTCAGCAATTAGAGTACTAAGTTTATTTTCGTAATTCCTAATTTTAGTCAAGTCTGAATAATATTTGAATTGATATACTCTTCCTGGTATACAACGAATATCTATATTTACTGTATTATGTAAGCACTTATGAATTAGAATAAAGTATTCTAGATTAATTCTTTGTCAAAGAGAAATGCTAAAATTTGTGTCCATTTGTATAAAACAGTTGCGAGTCAGTGAATAATGTCTGGAGCTGAAGCATGGCCAGTGAAGTCTCTGGAGAAACTGGATGTAAGGGAGATTAATATACTTAGAAGTATTAAGTAACAAAGATGGATAAAGTCAGTATTAAAAAAAAATTGAGAGAATAATGGAAGTACTGAAAGTGTCAAAGATGGCACAGGAATGGAGCCTACAGTTGGTTGAAAGTATTACGTAACAAAGATGGATTAGGTCAGTACTGAAAAAAAAAGAGAATAATTGAAGTACGGAAAGTGTCAAAGATGGCACAGGAATGGAGCCTACAGTTGGTTGAAAGTATTAAGTAACATAGATGGATAAGGTCAATATTGAATAAAAAAAAATAAGAGCATAATGGAAGTACTGAAAGTATCAAAGATGGCACAGGAATGGAGCCTACAGTTGGTTGAAACGTGATGAGAATAGACGAGACATAATGTCAGGATAAATGTGATGGAGATGGAAGTCAAGGGTAGCAAAGGGAGAAGACCAAGACAAAAGAGGTCAATAGACTGCATAAAAGAGGATTTCAGAAAAAAAGCAGCTTTCATTGGAGGACTTTCATGACAGGGCTAAGTCAAGGAGAACAGTCAGATATATCTACTCACTTAGAAATAGAAGCTGTATTGAGAAAGAAGAAGACTTAAAAAGAGGGGAATCTGATTAGAGGGAATGGGTCCTCCATGACCCGTTCCGCTCATCCGTGGGTGGAGAATCTAAAACAAGGAAGAGCTGAAATTCTGTGTTCCTGAGCCATGCATCCAGAGCTAGTCTAAAGGATGTAAATAATTTTTTGTATCCTTAATGGAAAAGGGATTCCATGCTCGGCTGTTTTGTTCTGAAACTGAAATATATTCACGATACGCCAGTTTGTGGTAGCCTTTTGGCCTTTAGGGCTAAGTTTAAATGTTAGACCTATAAAAATATGA